ATTGTTCGGATCATTGGTATTTAAGCCTTCCGCTGTGCTATCTGGTACTATGTGAGAGAGGTCGGTTCTTGTTCTGGTCTGCACCTTTACGGTATGCGGCCCACCTGTTTGAAAAAGTGCGAATGATTTGAATTTATTGACGTATTCAGATAATTTATCTAACACAGTTACACTTCATCTGCGTTTCTGTCATGTGACATTGTGTACGGAATTATTTCAGTTATTATTATAATATTATTTATTAATTTTATAATTTTTATTTGAATTTTGGATTTTTGGAGGCATTCTGAGAATGATGCTTCATGTTTTTTTTGAAAGAAAAGGAAAAAAGAATGATGTTCGATAAAACAAGGATTGTCTCGCAAAAGAGAGGAGATGTCCATACATGAGCTGAATCAAATCGAAGTTTTTTTCTTTATCATTGGGGTTAAATAGCGAATGTACATATAGAAAAATCACCGCCAACCAAGCCCGAGTACGTGACCTGCGTGACGAGTTTAGAAATGACTAGCTTGATGGGTTGCTGAAGAACAGAGCAAGTATGAGAAGCACTGTTAAAGCACCAGTACTACATGCCAGGTATCGGCCGCGGGCCCCTTTCAGAGGTCGCCTGCCGCTGATTCATTATATCTACTACGGCGCTCGGCCTCCTAAATTTTCAGAGAGGTTCAAAACAGGATCTCCAGTTGCCTGGGGCTATGTACTGTACTGGTGTTTTTTAAAGACCACCCCTAGCTGTATTTAGTTTGAAAGATACCCCAAATACAGCTATAATTACCGTCCGTTGTATTCGGGGGAAGAAGCTAGCTCCTAACCTGACCTGCCCAGCGCCTAATGAGGCCCGGTACGGAAGCAGTTTCTATTTTCTGGCGCTTTGGGAGTGGAAAGTTTTACGTCCCCCCACTCTCTGGTGTTGCACAAGGGCTTTTCCCCCCCCCCCCCCCCCCCCCCCCCCCCCCCCCCCCCCCCCCGACGAGCCCCCTTCCCCCCCCGGGGCCCTGGCCCCCCAATTAGGGCCTATTTGTGGTCACCACGGTGGGAATAGAACAGGGAGGCCCGCCGAACCTATGTGGTGGTTTAAGTGGTAACGCAGTTATGCTGTTTGATGACAGGCAACAGTCGCCGGGGTAGCTTTCCGTTTCACTCATGTCCTCTTTCTTTGTTTTGGGGGGAAACTACGCGGGAGTCACAAAAACGAGTTGTAATTGCAGTATGGGCCAAGATACAGTTTGCAATTGCAGTTCGGGCAATGTATACAACCCAGCTTTCTGGCCAGGTAGGGTGCCCGAAGTGCAATTGCAAACTGTATCTTGGCCCATAGTCCAATTATAACTCGTTTTTGTGACTCTCGCGTAGTTACCCCCTTTTTTTTTTTTTTTTTTTTTTTTTTGGGACTTGTGGTGTCCTGATATAATGGCAGTGAAAGGCAACCTATCAGGTTATTGAGTTATGTCAACTTATTGGCTCTTTTTTTTTTTAAAATAACTTATTGGCCATTCTCAGCCGCCAGCTTCCGTTTGTCAATTTTAAGAGGGGAAAAAAAGAGAGAATTGGGATTCCCTCTGCTGTTTTGGTTTCCATACTGTCCTCGTCTCTCACCCTCTTTTTTTTTTTTTCGTTCCTCTTTTTGTTGCTGCAGACCTGGCATCGGTTGCTTCGTTCTTTATGTCCCCAGCGAGTGCCGCCAGCTGTGACGTGTCCGTGTCTGTACAGGCTTTTGCAGGTGCCTTTGCAGCAGTAGCAGCAGCGGCAGCGGAAGTCAGCGAGGATGCCGACGCTGGCAAGGGAAACGTGCGTTTGAAGCCGACTCCGCTATGTGGCCTGCCTCCTTGCTGGTTGCCCGCGGAGGGCCATGGAATTGTTGTTGATGTCACCGGGAATGCACGGTGGGTTCTGCTCGCCACGTGGCTGATCAAACTTGTTGGCCGTCTGCTGATGGAAACCCCGCTTCTTGTCAGCGGCTTGGTGACACGGGACACACTTTTGGCCATCAGCTCCTTTTTGTGTTACAGCGATGTCATGCTGCAGAAGGTATATAGTATATACTATATATATCCGGACACTATATGTCCATTTTGTGGCCACGGACGCTATGCTGAATGCATGCTCTTTTGTGGGGGGCGTTCTTCCTTTATTCTGGCCTGCAATAGACATGCTATTTGTCAGGAATGTATGGTTGGCATGCTTCATGCCAGCCGTCGTGGCAGTTGTTGTTTTGAGAATGCTCAGTTAGGTCTTCCATGCGCTCATCCACCCCATCCTTACAATGTGTGTCCTTTCTGTCGTCAAGGACAGCCTCATTCTTGAGCTTTTCCCTGTGTTTAACACCTTCCCCTTCACTCTGCCTCTCTCACAGCGTGCAAGTGGGCTGTTATGGCATACGGGGATGGGGGCAGCTCGCGCTCAACTTCATCAACGTGGCGAGCCTTGCACGTGAGAGGCACAGTGGAGGTGGAGTTCAAAGAAGAATGAGAAATTTAATGGTTTCAATCTGCCCTTGTTTTTTCTTTTTGTTTTTATTTTTGCATGTTATCACTGTGCCCGTTTTTTGCTTTTATTCTTTGTTCCGCAAAGTGCGCTCTTTTAGTTTGTAGTGATGTGACAATATATATGTATATAATGTCATCAAATTCACTCTCCTAGAGCGTCGAGCGAGTCTTTCATACATCTTATTTTGTCCATCTCATTCCTTCAGGATTCAAACTTGTGAGCTGTTTGCTCGCAGCTCCACTAGCAATTCACCCTTGGTTTTCATCATTCTCATTTGTGCATGCATGCATGTCCAATCTGGGAATCAAACACAACCAACGGCTTGTCCGGCGAACACCTAGCCAAGAGACTAAGTGGGCTGGGGTGAAAATGACCCCCCCCCCTCCAAGATGAGTACTTCACCCCACCCCAGCATGGATTGCTCTGCGACAAGGTGTACCCAACCACACTCATCCCCACCTCTCACAGCCACACATCCATAGTATTATTTCTACGGCGGTTACTGCGTGAAAAAGCGATGCAAAATGCCCAATCTGAGAATCGAACACACAACGAACAGCTTGTCAGGCAAACGCCTAACCAATAGGCGAAGTGGCTTTTGGTAATTCCGGTTCTGTTAATCATGTCTCCATGTGGTGTCGCATCTGTGATGGCGGTCCTGTCACGGTGATTTTTTGACTACTGGACTCTGGAGCGATGGCTTCTTCAGAAAAAAACAAACAGTAGACCGGGCTTCTTCATAGTTGATTGTGGTCCTCGGAGACCTATACGTTAAGTGACAGGTCATGTTCTCCTCAAAGTAACAGTTAAAAAAAAAAAGAAAAAAAAAAGAAAAAGAAGAAAAAGGAAAACTTATGGAATGATGGTGTGTTTACATGCCAGTACTTTCTTTGTTCAGCACATTATGTCCTCCGCGAGAGTAAAGCCTCACATTTTGTGCTACTTGATTTGAACGACAGGACTGTTTCCTAGTTCCTGTAGCTGAATGGTACGTGCATATAACTATTATTAGACAGAACATGAGTTCGAATCCTTGATGGGAATATAATAAAAGTGAGGAGCTACTCAGCTACCCCTTGTAGGAAAATACATAGTGGGGTCTGTTAACGACCAATAGGGAGGGGGGGGGCGGGCGCACGAAGGAAGAGAATTGTCAATCACTGGTTGGATGGACAAAAATGGACGCGAAGAAGAGAGAAAAGGATATAAGAGTATTAACTTTTAAGGGGTAGTAGTTCCAGATAACATCTCACTTCTTGTCTTTGACCTCTTGGTCTAAAAGACTTCAACCGCCAACGGGCCTAGCCCAGTTGGTACAACCATTAATTGTCTTGGTCTAAAAGACCCCAACCGCCAAGTGGCCTAGCCCAGTTGGCACATCTCACGGTTGTGTTGTGCGTTGAGTCAGCTCAGCTGTCTCTATTTCACTTCACTTCAGTTGGTACAGCCATGAATTGTTGAAAATTAAAGTACAGACCTCCTGAGTTCGAATCTTGTCACAATCAAATGAACAGAATAATAGGTTGTCCTTCGGGACATCCGTTAAAATTGGAACGATACAGAGAATGAAGATTAGCATGGCCCCTGCGCACTCAAGGATGACACGCATGAATCGAGAAATGGTCCAAAATAAAAGGAAAAAAAAAGAAAAAGAAAAAGAAAAAGGAAAAGAAAAAGAAAAAGAAAAAAAAAGGAAAAAGAAAGAAGAAAAAAGAAAATGTAATAGTCTGAGTTATCTGGGGCCGGTCAGTTCAATGATGATATCTCGAGGTCGTTGCCCTTTCAACCAAAAAAAAAAAAAAAAAAAGGAAGACCCCAACCAAACCGATGACAGAGCAGTTGGTGACAGGGCAGTGGGGTTGCTTGGCCAAGCCTCCAAGAGGCCACACATGTAAAAAAGTTGTAAGACTGCTTATGAGGTTTCCGTGCTTTTTTTTATGCTTGTGCTGAGCCTTTTTTTTTTTTTTTTTTTTGACTGGTGTATTTGAAGTTGAACTTTTATTCAGTCAGTATTTCGCATACTGCAATCAGACGCACTCTCCTTCACACTTCACATACATACGAACAGGTTGCGCAGCAAACTGGCGACAAGCGCCCACTTCGAACTCAGAGATATGGAAACCTGGAACACAGTTCAGATACAATTTCACTTCAGATGGCTATGGCGCATCAGCGCCTGTACAACTTCTCTGTTCGTCACTTGCTCAACACTGCTGTTCGCACACAGGATCACCCTGGATATCCCACACGCAACACACTGCGCATTCGCACACTCACACACGCTACTCTCTCTCCTATCAGCTATGGCGACTATGGCCGCTGCTACCCTATCGCTATGGCTAAGCTTTCTTCTCGCCCACTTTGTCCTCGGGCCTACTGCAAACCACCTTGCACAAATCGCTGTGGCAGCGCTTCCGCATGGCTTACGCAGGAATGAATGAATGGCTGGGCGCTGCCTCTTGATTTATACTTCTGTAACTCGTTGGTCTGTCCCTTTCCATCGGCCCATGGTGCACACAGTCCCTCATGGTACTTGCTTGACTGGACTGGGACTGACTGGACCGGTACCGCTGACTGCATGGGTTTGCACTGCCAACTCAATGCAGTCGCACTGCCGACGTAATGCAGCTGGGCTCACCACTTGCCCACTTGCCTCTGACTGAAACGTGAGGCAGCTTCGAAAGGCCACTTCCGGACCTTCCGGAAGTCTGTGGACTTGGCCTTTCGAGTACTGTAGCGACCTTGACCTTTCAGGACTGTAGCAGCTACGACCTTGACCTTTCAGGATTCCTACAGCTACAACCTCTACAGGGCTGTGACTCCTACTTGACAGATCTACAGATCGAACCCTACCACTACACAGGCCTACGATAGACAACAACAACTGTCATTCAAACACTCGGGGTCGACACAGATACTGTACACAGGTAAGGTGAGAACTAGGGATCGAGCCCTGGGATCTGCATTCGCTACTGCTAACAGGTGAAAAACGTTTCACTCCCGCCGGCCTAAATTCGAGATCCTCTGAGAATAACTCAGTCCAAGGCGGGACCTTTACCTTTCTTATTTCTCTCGTAGGCTCTAACTACATCGGGAGCAGTTTTTAGAAGTTCGGTTCTGGTAAACCAGCGGTCGTCTTCTGGCTCCTGATAAGCAAATCGAACCTTATACTGCTTCTGCGGACGACCTCTACCTCTTGTTCTGAACACGTCTTCACCTACAATGCCGTCTATGTGGTATCTTTCGTCCATGTCTGGAGGAATCATGGATCGCCTAGATGGAAACTGTTGACTTGTGACACACGACAACAACTTTGAGGCATGAAACACAGGGTAGGTGTGGAGGTGTGCTGGGATCTCTACTGTGTAGGACGGCCCATCCTCTCCGCCCTTAACTTCTAGAACTGGCCACGGTCCTCTATATGCGGGCAGTAACTTCTGCGAGATGTTTTCCTCAGGAGCAAACTCTTTGGACTTGACCCAGACCAGGTCGCCTACTTGAAACTGCGATGGACAACGGTGCTTATTAGCTTGTTCTATCATTCGGTGTTGGGCCTTCCTGAGGTTCTCAACCTCGAAAGCTAACTCTTTCTCGTGCTGTAACGCAAACTCCCTAGTACCGGGCGGTAGCCTGTGAATCTGATCCCGGCTAAGTCCCTCAAACGGTCTGCGTGGTCTAAAGGACTTGTGCAACTCGTTGGGAGTGCAACAGGTAGACAAGTGCACGCTGTTGTTGTACGCACTGGCTACTTTGGGCAACATCTCATCCCAATTGATATGATCCGGTCTAATGTACATACGCAGAACTTGTTGCAGGATCTTGTTCATCTGTTCAGTCCGACCGTTGGTCTCTGGATGACGGCCAGATGACATCAACAACTTGGAGCCATAGACTCTCATCAACTCCTGCTAGTTCTAACTAGTGAACCGGGTGTCTCTATCACTAACTATAGACAGTGGAATCCCGTGTTCACTGATCCAATAATAAAAAAACTTTTGAACAACTAACTCTGTGCGTGCCTCTGAGGGCAAAGGAACAAAAACAACGTACTTATTGAATCGGTCAACTATTACCATGACTTGGCTCTTGCCGTGCTTACTCTTGACATGGGTGTCCATAAAGTCAATGGACGCTGAATCCCCTGTCTGATCAGGAATAGGCAAGGGTCTGAGAAGACCTAGAGGGACACGTTTTATTCCTCTGGCAGACCTTACAACTGCGAACATACTCCATGCAGTCGGCCTTCATCCCAGGCCATATGTACGTGCGCATGAGGTTAGCTAAAGTCTTTTGCCAACCAAAATGTCCCTCAGTATCGTGGCATTCCCCTAGGATCAAACTACGGATCTCCTCACTGTTAGGAACACACAATCGGTCAACTAAGTTAGTCTTCTCGAATAGTAGCCCATCAGTAGTGCGGTAGTCCGGTTCCGACTCTGGGGCCTCCTTTACTTTCTTGAGGAGGTCACTATAGGTAGGGTCCTGCGCATACACCTCTCTAACTTTCTGTTGCATGTCTCTCCCTATATCCAGATAATGAA